AAACCCGTTATATATAATACACAAATGTACATGTAATAGGCCAACAAACTACATACATACATGTATGATTACCACAACACTTAACCGTCCACCTGCGTACCCTACATGTACATGTACATGTACATGTACCACAACTGGTGCATGTACATGTACATGTACATTTTTGCCATACATGTACATGTACCAGCACACATGTACATGAGCAAAAAGCAGATTTTTGCCAGAAGTTGATACTGGAACGTTTGCATTAAAATTTCAAAAAGCCACAGTATTGCGCAAAATGTCCAGCCACTAGCTCCTCGATATTCTTTTTATAGGCCTACTATGATACATGTACAGTACATGTACATGCACAAACCAGTATATGTACGGTAACGTACTTGTACATGTACGGTACGTGTATGTACTAGTTCCCCATGTAAAGAGTACATGTGCATATGTACCATGCATTGTACATGTACATGTATGTATTGATTCTGTACTGGCATGAAATACCTGTACACAGATGTATTTACTGTACGTTTTCTCTTTAAAGAAATTTTTACTACCCTAGCTTCAAGCTCAGAAGGGACAAGAAAGTTAATTTCCTTTCCAGAAGCAGGCTGGAGGACAAACCCTTTGGGGAATTGTATGGAACTGAGGCAGAGAGAGGACAAAAATTACTCCATTTTTGAAGTGCCCTTGGAAATACATCTCCTTGGATATACAAATACATCTCCAGCACTACCCCCATACCAGGAGAAAGGAATTTCCGCCAACCTGATGTCTACAGAGAAACGTTACAAAGAGAAAACCATTTTCTCTACATCCATGCAAGAATGTGCAACATCATCAATCAACATCATTCACATTAAACAAACTACAGAATGACAGTATAATCTCCCAAACCCTACCAACATTTGCACTGAGTGTGGACACTTCATCAAGCAACAAATCAATGGCAGAACCCACTGCCCTACATCTGTCGCACTTATGCTGAAAGGAAAGCAAACACTCTGGTGTAAGAGAAAACAAAGATAACAGCTGGCTCGGATTTGTTTCATTTCATTGCTTATTTACCTTTTTGGATGTTAGTGTCTAAAAATGAAAAGTACAGGTTAACACTCCCACGTATATGTACATGTACACTGCATGCCTGTACGTGTACATGTATCGTACCCGTGCCATGTATGTGGAACTTTTTTTTTGTCAGAAAATTGCAACTGCACTGCTGTTTGCAGAAGCTATTTGAGTGAGTAATGCATGGAGACCCAACATTTTCCGAATCCACGGGTTGATTGTGCGGTTGGGGAAAGTAAACGAGTTTTTCCAGACACACGCTATACGCCGGTACCATGTACGAGTATAGTGTAAGGTACCGTGCATGGAAGTCAGTTCTGACTGCCTCTAATGGCGCATACACAAAATACCTGGAAATAATATCTTTATTGAGTTATCGAGCCCCATATCAAATGCAATTTGCTACCGTTAACGTCGATAATGTGTTTCAGGCAGAAATGCTTTGCAGCACTACATATAGCCAAACAAAATGTTGGCGCTCGACTCGAAATCTAAGGAACACGTAGGGTATGTATGTACATATGTACATGTATGTACATGTACTGTATATGTACTGTACATTATACATGTACCTGTACTGTACACGTGCACTGCTCCTGAGGCAAGCATCGGTGGTACTTATGTACATGTATAGCCACAGGTTTAAAACATACATTGTGCAAGTACGGGTACTGCAAGCCCAGAAGATGGAGATGACGGTTAATTGGGATGCTGTAAGTTTCAGTTTTTTAATAAAATCTGGGCTTTACAAACAAAATCAAATATATCGGCATGTGAGGATTAGAACACAGTTACTGCAAAAAGACATTCACGAACTCTTGGAACTGGGGTGAAGTACATGTATTCAACAATGCTGAATTTCTAATAATGTGTATGTACATGTACATGTACATGTACGTGTCCAAAATGGGGTGACACAAAGCAAGGAAGGCTTGAAACCGAGGCACAATTAAGTGAGAGACCCTGAATTAGTATAGGGCTAACATTTTGAATGCATATACATGTACATGTAGGCACCACGTCTGTACATATATGTACATAAATGTACCTGTACGTGTACATGTACATGCCAATGTACCGGTACACGTTCAGAGCCCTGCAAAAAGCACTTTTTTTGGTAACAGGCTCACAAAAAGCCCTTCCCAGCCGTTTCTTCATTATGCAACCTTGTTGGACTAGGCACAAACTCTTGTTTCAACTTTGCATCACTATTTTTATTCGGTGACAACCGTCTTCCTTCCTCTACGGTCTACCATAAATGATACCAATATTCATGACTTGCTTGGAGCACACCATGTGCTGGTGTACATTTACATGTACGTGTACATTTAAAAGTCATTTCCTCAAAGCTTGTCTGGGGAAATAGGGCCTGTATTAATGTTCATCATGATCACATTTCAAAATAAATGCTGCAATAAGCACTCCCAGGAAAGGCCGCTGACTACATTACAAAGCAATACACCAAAACATGTAGGAACAGTAGCTGAAGACATGTGTGGGTAACTCAACCACTACTTGCTGTTTTTATGGTGAATTTGCAAAATTTCAAACTGGTGCGTACCAATTAGACAGAGCAAAATCACAGCACATTCATTTCACGGCCGTTATCATTACCACAAAGTGCCAGCTGGCAATACCGTCTGACTCCCGATCAGACTTTCGGGGATTAACTGCCAACCCATCCCTAATATCCATCTTCAGCTGTCCGTCACTTCGCCCCATTTACATGTACACTTCACCCCATTTCCACTTCGCCCCATCCCCACTTCGCCCCATCCCCACTTTGCTCCATCTCCACTTTGCTCCATCTCCACTTCGCCCCATCCCCACTTTGCTCCATCTCCACTTCGCCCCATTGATTGTCGTTCATTTTGTTCTTCAGTAACAGAGGCATACGCCTAGATACAACAAGTAAAAACATCAATGTTTGAGTACCCAAATAACGATCGGAGAATCATGACGTGATCCGTCACGCATCAAAAAAAACATCGCTGCTGCAAGATTTCTTCATCTTAATTCTTAGTATTTTGTCCATGTGTGTATTTTCTGTGTTCATCAGTTTAAGTTTAGGTTGTTTTGTTTGTACTTAAAGCATGGAACTATTAAACACGTGTTTATAGCTCCATGTTTAAAGCGAGCGTGTTTCCACAAAATTTCCTGCACGCCGATCTTTATCCAATCAACCGGGTACAGCCGTCTGGATGCATCGACAATTATTAGCAGAACAATGTGAACAGAATTTTGTGTGTTGCTTTGAAAAAACTTGAAGAGGATAAGAAATAACCCTGAATGCTAGTCCATCCGTATGTATTGATTCACCATAATGGACAACGCAGTCGTCATTCATTTAATGCCGTAGAGTTTTCTATAATAACTATCTGGACATGTCATTTGTGGAACTTCCCTCTCAACCACTTTTTGAAGAGGCTTGTAACACACTCGAGAACGGACGGCAAACTGGAAATGGGGCGAAGTGGAAATGGGCAAAGTGGGGATGGGGCGAAGTGGAGATGGGGCGATATAGGGATGTGACAAAGTCCGCATGCAGATACATGTGTGTACAAATGTACATGTCCTATACATGTACATGTACATACATACTTCTTGATATTAACTAGTACATGTGTGTGTATGTGATACATTTATATGTATAATACATTGTACCTTGTGGGAATTTTTTCCCTTTTTTATTAGAATTTTAAAGACATGTTTTCATCCCTTGCTTAAAAAATGATCACCGACACAGGTCAAGTCACAAAACATGTGCACGTACATGTACATGTATAGCTGCACGTACATGTACTGTACCCTACACATACCTTACATGTACTGTGCCCTACACATACATGTACCTTACATTTAATAGCATCCTGTTGCTGTAGTGTATTTGTACCAGTACGTACATGTGCTTAGTCATGTTAGTAGTTGAATTTTTATGGCTTCAGATTTTTAAACAAACTTTGATAGAGTTTGTGTGATGCTCTAAATCTTCCACAACTATTGAGTTCTTTCAGGAGGGAAAAACAACATGCAATGGGCATTCTGCATCGTTACAGGGAACCTATAAAACGGTGCTTACCGGCACAGGTGCCTGTAAATTCCTCTTTGGTACATCAATCATGTCAATGCAGATAATGAAATGCAGTGTAAGAACAATTTCTTGAGGTGACAGACTGAATGTTCTTATTCCAAGAGGCAAAGCTGAGTGGACGGAACATTCAATCTGCCACCAAACGAAATTAATCTTTCCTCTGAACAAATGTGAATCGCATACATATACATAATATACCAGGTACATGTACGCATGCCTAAGGTCAAAAGTCGCCTTTATTACATGTACCTTTTCAGTCTGGCACACGGTAAAAGTACAACTCAAAGTTTTTACATTGCAAGCAGTGACTGAAATGTTTTGTTTGAGTGTGGAGCCCTGACTGAGCCTCCTCGGTATGTGTACAACAGTGAAAGGCTGCCGGCCTGCGACTCTGCCTACTGCACATGCATGGTTCTAATGCATTCAGCAGGGTAAACAATACCAAAAGTTTAACGATACATATGTACATATATAAATGTAAGGAATGAACTCTGAAGCTTTGCATGTACTGCTACATGTACGGGGTACTTACTGTCTTCGTGCGGCCCGACCCCGCTCTCCTGTGCCCGAGGACATCTTGTCTCGTCGTTGCAGTCGCTGTAGTACATGATGAGTGCAATGTCCAGCATAAACCACACCATGGACGTCGCAAGTACCACCTTGCAGTACATCAGGCGTCTCGCCATTGTGTTCAAGGTCCTCTGATAGCAAAGTCCTCACTTAAGTCTTGCGTCCTCACACTTTTGGCAGGACTGTGTATAAAGTCTGGAATGCTTTTCTTGAACGGCTACGCTGCAAATAGCCTTGTCATTTGTACAGTAGCTGTTGTAGTACAGTAAAATTATTTGCTATTCAGAACACTTGCAGACCTGCTTATTATTTACAAACCTGTCTTATGCACAGTATATACACAAGTATTGATATTATTGAATTTTGGTAACTTTGGTGTTACATTTATAAGGAATAAACCAGGTGACACGGAAAAGTAAAATGTAACAAAAAAGTGAAAGTAATGTGCACTTTAAAGTTCTTCCCGAACCAGGATGAAGCACAAAGCATGTGACAATGTCTAAAAATATGTTCAGCGCAGCTCGACTACCATATCTCTGATAGCAACACAAAGTCGCAACCACCGACAAAAGTGAAATGAAAAGTAGAACAAGTGGCCAGCTTTATATGCAGCCACGGATGCCATAAAAAGTCAATTTCTCATTGCACACATCTGGACCGTTGCTACTGTCATCACACACACATCCGGTTGTCACTAGACACTGGGTTGGTTGGCGGTACAGCAGCAACCGTGACCGACACATTTGATCTCTGTCGCAACAAGGCAATGAAAAGGTGCCGATCGGACCAGCTGGAGCTCTGACATGCAACAGAAAATGGGGTCACTAATCTGTCCATCCAGAAACAGTCATGACTGCACATGGTCATGTAGGGCATGCACACAGCCCGCAGAAGGGACAGTCAAGTTGTTGCCAGTTGCCTCTCAACAAGGAAAGAGAGAGAAGAAAAAAATCTCCCGGGTCACTGGGTTGTGATCAAAAGTCTGTCTGTTTGACATCTGCTGGTGAAACTTTCAGTCAGCTCCTGTCAGGAATGCTGGTCATTGACAAGAGCCCACAGGACGATCAGTTACATACATGTATATGTAAACTGCAGAAACTGAAAGTGATTTACACTGCATGGTGAGCATGGAACTTGTGTGGGACAGTTGTAGCATGGTGGACAGGTCAGGGGATTAACCTCCCATTGTTGAGGTTCCTGGAAGAAAACAAGAAAAAAACAAAAGATTAATCACTTAAGAAACTGTCAAAGAGGATAATCACTCCTCACTGTTTATGTTTCTGTTTACTTGGCAGATTAGTCCCTCACTCAATGACAAATGAACAAATTAAGACAGTCCCATTGCAGTTCGTCCTGTCTGTGTTCCAACATTTCTAATAGGCCCTAAGTGTACATGTGTACTTTGTAAATGACAGGCATAATCATTAATTCCTGTTCTTAATTTGAAAATATAAAGTACACCGTACGCATACATGTACATGTACAACAGCGTATGCAGAGTTTGCCAAGGTTGGACAGCACAAATCTAAACATTTCTCACTCCAAAAACAGGACAAAATAGAGCCAGGGGTCCATGTGAAATGCCACAGGAAATCCGCGTGTTTTGCACCCCACAGCGCAGTGACTGAAAAAAAGGAATTTCCCTACAGTTTGAGAAACTGCAACTGGCTCATCACGAGGAATGGGCCAGCTTTCAGTGGTACCCTTAACGAGGAACTACATGTACTGTAGGTATGCCAAAGAAATGAAAGAAAAAGAAAAATTTGAGCTCAAAAACACTCACTTGGAAAAAAAGATGGAGCAGCAATTAAACCACTTTGGACTGGGTACATGGAGAGCGATACTGAAACAGTTTGGACAGAAGACTCATACATGTACCTGCATCATGTCAAAATGAGTCTTCTACGTACATGTACATGTACTTTTTATGTCTTCTTATATTGGCGCATGTTATATACCATTTGCAAACGGTACCGGTACAAGCATGATACTGATGTACATGTACATACATGTACATGGTCCGGTACTGCATATTGGTATCTACAGTATATACAGAAACAGTACATGTATGGTAAGTGTATTGGTACCTGTATACAGAGACAGTACATGTGCATGTATGGTACTGTGTACTGGTACCTGTATATAGGGGTAGTACATGTATGGCACTGC